TATATATCCTTCATCTCTGAATATATATATAATCAGAAATCTTTGTCTTCTCCTAATACAACTCAAATCAATGATAATGAAAATAGTATTAAATTCTTGTAACACTAACTTTTTTTAACACATGCTATTTTTCATGCTTAGAACAGAATTGCCAGATTCCGGTTTGGAATTCAATTAAGAAATGCAAACATAGCTCTTTTTAAGCGTTTCTTGTCTTTAATTGTTTTTTAGCAGTTGTTCTAACAGCATATCTATGTTCGGTACACAGCAATAGCGAAAAGCTTCTTTCGCTTTATTCAAATTAATAATTAAACTATTCTGATAATTTCGCGATTATTTTTCCTATTTTATTAATTTATCACAATTGTCACTTTCTTTTTCGATTAGCGTTCTTAACGTAAATTTTATTATGCGCTGTTCATTTGTGTTCATTTGATGTTTAGCGATTGTTTTTCTTTTTTTCTTTCACAATTATTTTCTTTCACAACAATTTAGAGTAGTGTTCGGCATATAATAATAATGAAAAAACTGTTATTCAAATTAAAGTATTCTGATAATTAATTTTGCGTTCGTGAAAAGCTAACATTGAAAAAGCTAATCGAATAAGAAAGTGATAAACTAGTAGAATTGAAAAAATAATTGCAAAATTAATTATCAAAATACTTTGATTTGAATAAAACGAAAGAGCCATTATGGCTCCGACACACCAGGAGATCGATTCTGTGGGTACGGTCTAATAATAATGCGATGCTGCAAACGCTTTGAAGCGTTTTTTAATTGATCAGTTTGTAAAATTCTTTCTTCTAATTGGTCCATCAAATGCTTCAAAGCATTTTTAGCGAGGCTTTGACACAACCTGTATCTTGAAACGAGATGAAAATTACAAAAATGAGTGAACTTACTAGAATATATTGATAATTTCATTGGTCAACACCTAGTAAATTGCTCACTTTTGTAATTTTCACCTTGTTTGGTACAGAATCCCTCGTACGATATTCGTCACACGCGACACGCGATATCCAATGAGAATATATCTTTAGAATAAAAATATCAGTAAAGCTGTATACTCATGTGGGCAAATCCGGTCGGGCCGAAAACGCTATTAGTTTAACAATTTTTGGGGATTTTAAGTAATGCAAACAGATCTATTAGTACACCTGCTTTCTTACACTAGCTAGGAACACTAGGAACTAGGATTTAGATTTCAGAATACTGTTCTTCACGTTCTTCTCTACTATATTACTTCATAAGTCCATTCTTCTCTTGGAGTTTTTAGTACGTTTCGTAGCATTTGGCGGCATTTGAATTTTACATAAGTTTTAACAAATTTTAAAATGGAAGAAGGTAAGAAACATTGCTTCCATACGAAATATTTTTTTAGATATTGCATTGATTCTTATTTGCGTTGATCCGGATCGCATCGTTTCTGTTATGAATTCATACAGTAATCCCATGATGAACACGTGTTCACTCAACGCAACATCGATCATCTATGATGATAGTACTGTTTAAAATATTAAAACAACTTAACAAACCAAAGAAACGCTGCCCACTACATTTACTTATATGAATAACACGAGAAAATTACCTTGTTTTATTTATTAAATGGAGGTTAAGGTAAATTAGGTTATATTATACTTCCTAATTTTCTTACAGAGAAGAACAAAAAAAAGGATAAGAAGAAATCGCTTGGTGAACTGCAATTAGCGACCAAATGTGAGATTGAACCTTCGAAGATGGAGGTGAAGCTTGAATGTAAAGACTGGCCTCTGCTGTTTAAGGTAATGTTTGTTTCAATAAATCTTTATGTATCATATAATTGCAATAACTATGTAATATAATTTGAAAAATTTGAGAGACAAATTTCTTGTTTTTTATTGCAGAATTTTGATAAAATGTTGACACGCACGAAGCATTTTACTCCATTGACCAGTGGTTCTACTCCGCTAAATCGCAGCTTGTCAGAGTATATAAAATCAGGCTGCATTAATTTGGACAAGCCATGCAATCCATCATCACATGAAGTAGTGGCTTGGATAAAAAAGATCTTAAGGGTAGAAAAGACTGGTCATTCTGGTACATTGGATCCTAAAGTATCAGGATGCTTGATAGTCTGCATAGACAGAGCAACGAGACTAGCCAAGTCGCAGCAGTCTGCCGGAAAGGAATATGTTGCCGTATTCAAGCTTCATTCTGCCGCTGAAAGTATTCAAAAGGTAAATATAGGTGATTGTGGATAATGGAATAAATAAATTTATATATTTAAACAAATCAATATAAATCAATATAATGCAAAATAAACAAGTATTTATACAAATAAATGTATAAATAGTATGATTCAGAATCAAATAATGACTGAGTCTCTTGTCTCTGATAAGTGTATCACATTATTTGCAGTTATTTATCCCACATCTCTTAAATACAAGTACAAAACAAAATTAAACTTAAATACAAAACTAGTAAAAATTATTGTTAGACATGAGATCCTATCTGACAATCGGAAATGTCAATATTTATTAATTCTTTGTTATCCAAAAGATAATTATTATATATCAATATCCAAATAGGCATCTTGTATTGATTTCACACTAATACTGATGATTTAGGTGAATCAAGCCTTGGAAAAATTGCGCGGTGCTCTCTTCCAAAGGCCGCCGCTGATATCGGCGGTCAAGAGACAGCTCCGCGTCAGAACAGTTTACGACAGTTGGTTTCTCGATTATGACCAGGAACGCAATATGGGAGTATTCCGTGTTAGTTGTGAAGCTGGTTCCTATATCAGAACTATGTGTGTCCATCTTGGACTCTTCTTAGGTACCGGTTGTCATATGCAAGAACTTCGAAGAAGCCGTTCTGGCGTTTTGTCTGAACAGGATGGTATGGTCACTATGCAGGATATTCTTGATGCCCAATGGTTGTACGATAATCACGGAGATGAATCGTATCTAAGAAGAGTTATAAGACCATTAGAATCGCTGCTAATAAATCACAAAAGAATCATTATAAAGGACAGCGCTGTATGTATTTCACTTATTATATCTTTTGAAAAAAGAATGTTTATTGTTATTTAATATTATATTGCACAAATTTATTAGGTAAATGCAATTTGTTACGGAGCTAAAATAATGTTACCAGGTGTTTTGATGTACGATCAAGGGATAGAATTGAATGAGGAAATTGTAATCGTAACTACCAAGGGTGAAGCTGTAGCAATTGGTAAATATATTTTCAAAATAACGATAATGTTTAACTCAACATTGTTTAACTTCTCCCATTCATTCAGAACTGTTCAACTTAATATCCATTTTATCATTTTTATGTTTAATCTTCAAAATATTTAACTTTATCTGTGGTCTCCAAACAATATTTATTTTTATCTTGTATACATCAGCTATAGCTTTGATGTCTTCTCCAACTATGGCTGCTTGTGATCATGGAGTAGCTGCAAAACTCAAAAGGGTAATCATGGAGAGAGATTCATATCCAAGAAAGTGGGGTTTGGGACCAAAAGCGTCGCAAAAAAAACGTATGGTAGCTGAAGGATTATTAGATAAATATGGAAAACCAAATGAAAAAACACCTCCTGAATGGTCACATAGTTACCAAGATTACCAAAACCTGGCAACACTGACAACGGCATCAACAACGGCATCAACAATGGCATCAACAATTGCATCAACAATTGAATCAACAACGGTAAATCGATTATTCTAATGCCTTCCAATATTTTATTAAATTAACTTTCAATATTTTTTATAAATGTATATATATATATATACACATGTATAAAGTATCAGAAATATTATTTTTAATCAGAAAGATATTTTTAATAAATGTAGACGGAAAAGAATGGTGACATAGGCATTGGTAAAAAGAGGAAGAGAAACGACGACACGAGTACAATGGATGAAGTGAAACAAGAAGCATCGGAGATTTTAGAAACATCATCACCGAAAGATAAAAAGAAGAAAAAAGAAAAGAAAAAGAAGAAGGAGAAACATGACATAGAAGGCGAAGAGTCCGTAGTAATGGAAGAGGTTACCAGTGGGGTAATTGGATTTTTTTGTCATAATTAGATTTATAATCTAAAAATTTGGACGTTATATAATTATTACAAGATACTTATATGTATGTGTATGTTACAGGAATCTTTAGCAAAAGAAGAGAAAAAGAAGAAGAAAAAGAAAAAGAAGGATAAAGATCAAGAACTTATGTCAAGTTAGATCGATATTCAAAAAAAGAAAAATTTTTAGATTAAACTGTTACATAGAAAAATGTACAGTTATTTTTTTATTGAATTATACATTCTGCTATATGTTACGAGAGAATGTTCCAGTTTTATATATATACTATTTTCTTGACTTTATAAATGTATGTATTCCGAAAATTTGTATTCCGAATCTAAAGGAATACAAACTATTCTGCGATTCTTTAATTTACATTTCCTAATGTTTTTCATATGTTATCTATCACATATCTTTTTTCTCAAATGCAAATATATACGTCTAGTATTCTAACTTATAATCTGAGTTTCGGTAAGTTACGTTCAAAGAATTTATACTGTGTACATATGTTTTTATCATGCGAAGACAAGAATCATGTATAGAGTATTTATGTAACTAATGCATTTTTTATGTTTTCTCTCTCGCAATATGTGAATCTATATCCATCATTATATTAGGAATATAATTAATGATATAGATTATACATTGTATTCATAGATGTCTCAGTATCAATAATACCATAATAGATTATAAAATATCTTATTTTCTATGATTTCTTTTTATCATATTGTACTTATTCCGTATCAGATATCAGAATTATTGTGTACTTCATCTTTTGTCCATTAAACATGTTATAACAATGTTTAGTATCAATTTGATTATATCAAAATTTTATAAAGAAAACTTTTTTTATAAAAACATGATAAGAATGTGTCCATATATTAATTCGTATTTTTGCTGGATTATGTCCATTTCGGAAAATAATAAAACGTTATATTTCTATTTTAAAAAGATGTATATTTCCTTTAAATATCATATTGCAAGTGATGTATTGGAAAACAGTTATTTGAATACAACCGTATCGAGCATGGCTCCCAAGCATTGAACAATATTTGTAGCCATTAATGTGTCGACCTTCTCTTCTAGATGCCGTTTCGGATCTTGCTTGCCCACATTCTTTATCGCTAATTGCTCTGGTGTCATCTTTTCTTCTTCTTCCAAGGCCTGTGAAAATAAATCTCTGTCGTTATTATGATAAAAGACATTTAATATATTCAATATACATACTATACAAAAGTATGTAATAAAGCTTTTAACTGCGCCTGCTGCGCAATGTTTCACCTTATTATAATTCTTCGCAAGTTCAAGCATCTCGGAAACAATATTCTCATTGAGTCGACTATGCTCTGAATATTCGGCAAGAGTAAGACCATCCATCCATGTTTTTTTATGAAGATTCAGCAGCATCTTTTGTTCCAGTTCGTTCTTGCGATAATTAATACTAATACTGTAATAATGCCGATTCAGTCCGTGTATCAACGCTTGAACAGACGGCTTCTGTAGGTGACCTAAATTCGATGTCGTTTGTCTGGGTTCTTGTCCTAAAACCTGCAATCGGTACGGAGTCATAATTGGAAAATATATTGTTGTCACAAATGTACTTACCATCATGTTTGGATTTATTAGTCTAAATGCATCGATAACAACTTTTCCTTTCACTGATTGTATAGGATCAATGACAACAGCTACCGCTCTTTCACTAAGAGCCTCGAAGGACTGTTGTGTATTAATGTCTACTCCAGACAGCCAGCATCCAAATCCTGGATGGGAATGATACCAGCCAACCACCATTTCTGGCCGACCAGTTTGTTTTAGCATGTCCAACATCTTTGCTTGGAACACTGGATCTACCGCTTCTACACTAACACCCTAAGAAAACATAAAAATAATAAATAACATATACAAAAGTACTTTATCAATTTTCTCATTTGTATCTTAACATTTACCGTTCCTGTTTGCGGCATAGCAAAGACGTCGATAACGCGAACAGTATAATCATCAACAAATTCACCCAACATCAAACCCATCACTTCCATCGGTACTCCGGCACGGCCATGCTTAAGCATTTTCAGGAGAGCCAAGGACGATATGTACACCTATAATAATGCAAAAAAATAAGACAACATGAAAGAAATAAAAAACACAATGCTCTGAATGATAGGTACCTGCTCAGCTGTATCCACAACGGGTGCGTCAGAGGGTGGTGGCCCTTGATTTAGGCCTGGCATTCCACCACCTAATCGCAACAGTCTGTCCATTCTTATGTGTTATTCAAATTCTACACCCTGCAAATATTTGAAACACATTATACAGCACGAAACCTTTGGAAATCTGGTATGTCATATGTTATATTGTATGTACGTACAAGCTAACATTTAGAGGTTAGGAAAAGAACGCTATGTGGATTTTCTGTTATTCCTTGACGATATACAATTCAAAAGTGATGCGCGATTCTTATCAGATTAAGATATAAGTTGTTCTTACGACAGTTCTTGTCTTCAGCAACAGAATTTTCCCGTTATTGCGACAAACCGAACGAGCATTCCTTCTTCAAAGTTACTTGGAGTCACCGATGACAAGTTTCAAATGTGCACAATCACGAGCGCAGTCTGCTGGTTGCTCCAAGTGTGCTCAGTGTTGCAAGACGGCGGGACAAAAACAGGACTGTCAAATCGTATATTACATTTTGT